ATAGTCAGTTTCTTAAAACATAACATAGTCAGTTTCTGCCACCAGAACATAGGGGATTAGAAAGGAATTTCCAAGACTATCCATAAAGGGAGGTAGCTCTTGGCAGGGGTGTTCCCTGAAAAGAATCCCCCCCCCCACAAATGTTTGAGAAAGACATTTCTCTAATCTGGCAGCCATGGACAAACCCTCATTGACTGGATTCTGCAGATTGGGGTCTTGAGCACCCTACAATGATGCTAAGTTGTTTAACAAGCTGGGCGGGGGGGGGTCTTTTATCTGGTGCTAAGCTGCTTAGCAAGCTGGATGGGGGTCTTTCAATACAACAGATATTTTGGTTTCCTTAATGCACCTATTATGTTCCATGATGCCCTATAAGGATGTATAAAGTTGCCAGTCTCCCTATATCTCGTTTTTGTGATTAAAAGGTTTCATGTCAATGCTAAAAGAACTTTGACTCAAAATGATTATTTTTAGGCTAAATATAACAGGGATAAAATATAAAATTCTAGATCTATAAGGGCAACTCATTTATAAACTGTTAAAAATAATTTACTTAAATTGAAACAATTGAGGATAATTAGGAATGCAGGTTGATGTATGCTAACTAATATAGATAATTCCTTAGTGCCCCAGCATTTAAAATGTTTAAGTTTCCCATGTTAGATAAAACTGTGCCATACCTCTTACAAAGCCAGGGCTTTGATAAAATATACTTTTGGGTCATCTAGATTGTATTTCTTGTTACACAGGTCTAAAATTCATTGACCTTGTTACCGAATTCCAAATAAAGAAGAGCTTACCAAACAGATTTCAAAATAACTTTTAGTATTCCTTTGGTTAAAGAAACTCACTCTACATTGACTGCTCAAATAACCTATGATCTATGTCTCTTGATTCATTAATTAAAAAAAAATTAGGATGTAAAATTGTTTAAGAATCTAAAGATTTAATTAAGTAATTTTGGGGAACTTAAAAAATAAGGTCTAGGTACATAAAACTATCAAACATGTCCCAGATTTATTTCCCCTTCTGTGATATTATTATTACATAAGATTTTAAGAATTCAAAGTTTAACATTAACAAAATTCTAAATAAACTGATACAACATTGATTCTTCTTATTCAGCCATAAACTCAGGATTCTATATTCTCTGGTCATTGCTTAAATATAAACAAACATGCTACTGATTTTAATGGAGACATTTTCCTGATTTACATACAACCACTCTCCTACACAAATAAAAATATTACTGCTTTTAACCAAATTAGTTTTAGGTTTCCAAACTACTATTATGACTCAAAAAAAAAAAATGAGATTCCTAACCTCTTCTATATCATGGATTTCAATATAGACTACATATAATAATAATTATAATAATAACATTTCTGACACTTTTGCCTCTTAAAGAAAATTCCTTTAAGCTTCAAGAGGTCAACTTGGATCAACCAGTGTTATGGTTTAGGTAAAATGCTGCACTGAGGTTCCCAGAGTGGTCACTCAGCAGGAGAGAGACCTCAGCAGGGCAGCCAGTCTTACAATCCTGGCAGATGAGAGACAGAATGATAGGCAAACCATGCATAGAGAGGTTAGATGTTAGATATTTATTTAGTGGGTTATGGAGGGGAAAGAAAAAAGGGAGGAAGGGAAGAAGGGGAAAGAACAGGGAGAGGCAAGGGGGGTGGAGAGGAGAGGAACTATGGCAGCAACTACCTCATCAGCAGAGAGATGGATGGGAAAGACCTCAGGCTAGAAGCAGAAGGAAGATCTGCTTGCCTGGCAGATGTGGGGAGGGAGTGGGCAGGACTTGTCTCTTAAAGGGACAGGACAGACCAACTACATTCAGCATCATCACAGGTCAGCATGAACTCAGAAAATTTTTACTTGTCAACAGTTTATTTCCCAACCTGTCTATTTGAATTCTCTCTCTCTCTCTTCTCTCTCTCTCTCTCTCTCTCTCTCTCTCTCTCTCTCTCTTTCTGTCTCTGTCTCTCTCTTTCTCTGTCTCTGTCTCTCTCTCTCTCTCTCTCTCTCTCTCTGTGTGTGTGTGTGTGTGTGTGTGTGTGTGTGTGGCTTTTCCTCTCTTTCTGGCCTGGAATGTTCTCTTTCGTCTGCTAAAATCATACACATAAAATTCCAAACGTGCACCTGAGAGAAAAAGGTTTCTATTTAAAATTTCTTAACTTCCTGTTTTGCCATTAATGTATATTTACTCTACTAGATTCATAATCACTGAAGGAGTTACAGCTTGCTCTGTCATCCTCCTAGGCACCAGCCTCATCTATCTGCAGCCCTGTGCCCAGCCTTCAAGCTCACACTTCAGGGGATTCTGCTGTACTCTCCTGGCCTTCTCTCAGCACAGGGTTTTGTTTGCTTGTTTTTTTTTTTTTTTTGTTCTAAAGACACAAAATTGGATGAGTAAGGATGGATCAGGTGAATCTGGGAAGAAGAAAGAGTGTAAATAGGATCAAAATAATTTGGAGAAAATTCTCAAAGAATAAAAAATATCAAGAATAAATTTGAGGAATCTGAATTAAGAGAAGGTATAAATCCAAAATTACTTTTATGCTTCTTATAATGTGTTTGAACCATTTGCTTTTATAGTCATAATTTACATTTTCTTTATTTGTTGTGTGAAACATTGTCTCTCCCTGAACCAGATTGGTGCCCAACAAGTCCTAGGGGTGCTCCTGTCTCTGTCCTTTGTAGAGCTGAAAGGACAGAAATATGAGGAAAAGTATGAGTAGAGCCATGCTTGGCCTGTTATGTGAGTGATGGGAATTTTAATTCAGGTCCCTGTGTTTCTATAACAATGCTCTTACCCGCTCACCTTTCTCTCCAGCCCATATAAACCTAAGCCAGGCATTTTGGCACACTCCTTTAAACACGGAAATCAGGAGGAAGAGGCAGAGAGATCTCTGCATTGAGGGCCAGCCTGCTCTACACAGTGAGACTCTGTCTCAAAAAAGAAAGAAAAATATTTATTTACAATATGCTGTTTAAATGATTCATTTAACTATTGATAAATTCCTTGTCTGTAAGAAACTGGTTTGAAAAGCTTGCTGGTTGCTTCTGGGGAGATTCCTTAGAATGGCCAATGCTCAGGAAAACCTACTGTTACTTTGAGAACCATTTCCACAGAGCAATGGAAGAAAATTTACCCTGTGTTTACTACGGGTCAGCTGGAGACACTGGCAAGACATTTTTCTGAGTTATCTCATCTGAATCTGAGGAGTTGGTATAAGTAAACCTAATTTTCAAATTTATTGTGAACAAGATTATAGGGTCAGATAAGGTCATAAACCTATCAAGTTTCTTTTCTGGATAATCTTTACATAGTTTAATGATATAAAATGAACTTTTTGTAGAAATATAACCTTCTTTGTCAGAATTTAGTTGAAACTAACCAGTCTCACAGCCATAATTGTGACAACTTGGTTCATTCTATGGGTATGCTTTGAAGACTCCAGTGTTGGATACACTGCTAGTCCCTGAGTGAAAAGTGATTAATAAAAACTCAGGGTCAGAAATTGGGGTTCAACCTGAAGATCTGAAAATCAAAACAGGCAGCCACTAGCTTTTAACTCCACCTCAGTCTGAAATTGCAATCCTGCCCCCTTAATCTCAGAATGAAACTGTCTCTGAGAGCTGTCTAACCCTCACCCCCCTTATATTCCCGTCTATGGCTAGAATTAAAGGCATGCACCATTGGGATTAAAAGCATTCACTGCCCAGTTTCTATGGCAAACTAATATGGCTACTGGAATTAAAGGTGCCTTCCATTAGGGCTTCTGCGATTAAAGGTATGTATTACCATAACTTGGTCTGTAAGACTGACCAGTGGGACTGGATTAATCTCAGATCTTCAGGTAGTCTTTATTTATCAAAATACATTTGAAATTCCACTACACATGAGGATGTTTTCTCCTTTCTTATGATGATGCAGGAAATAAAACGGATTGAAAGAAAAAGGTTTTTTATTAAGGCTAAATGAAGAAGTGACTTAGAAAGTGATTTTCTAAAATAAAGTATTCTGTATTCATCTAATAAATAGTAGAGTATAGATATAACAAAAACACAATTATTCACTAATTTTAATTTACATTATTTAAAAGGTGTCTGTAGTTTAACACCAAAGGGCAGAATGTATTGTGTGATAACACACACCTGTGATCCCAGTTTCTTGCAGAGGGTAACAGGTTCAGGTCAAGTGGAAAGACCTTATTGAAAATAAAATTATGACTGGCAGTGGCGGCGCACTACTTTGATTCCAGTGCATGGGAGGCAGAGGCTAGAGATAATGGGCCAAGCAGTGGTTTAATTAATACAATTTCTGTGTGGTTATTTCACGGCTAAGCTAGCCAGGTGTCTGGGATGAACAAGCGGGTCCTCTCCTTGCAACAGCCTAATCTACAGAGTGAGTGCCAGGACAGCCAAAACTATACAGAGAGACCTTCACTTGGAAACAAAAGGTGAAAAAAATTATCAAAGCCCCTGGGATTAAAGGGTCATACCACCACTGCCACACTGCTTGCTGCTTTTCATTATTAAAGTGCAAGGACAAGTGCACTTTGGAAAAGTCATTTTGGTGGTCTCATATTCTCATGAGGAAGATGGTCTGCAACAAAACTTCCAATCATGCCATTAGGATGTGGGAGTCCTTTCTATGTGCTATAATTACCATTAATGAATAAAGAAACTGCCTTGGCCTGTTGATAGGGCAGAGCATATGTAGGCAGGGAAGACAGAACTGAATGCTAGCAGGAAGAAGAGCAGAGTCAGAGAGAAGCCATGGACTCGCCCCCGGAGAGAAGTGCTGAGGATTTACTGGTAGGGCATGACCCCATGGTGATATACAGATTATTAAAAATGTGCTAAACTAATATGTAACAATTAGCCAATAAGAGGTTAGAGCTAATGGGCCAAACAGGGAATTTAAATAATACAGTTTCGGTGTGATTATTTTGGTTCTGGGCAGCCGGGACAAACAAGCAGCCTTCCTTCCTACACAATTACATAAAAAATACATAAAATACCCTCCAAAATTTAACAAATTACAGAAAAAAATGCATAAAGTGCATTAATTGTACTAAGGGTTAAGACACAAGTGTCAACACCCATTTTAAAAGCATCAATGTTGTTTAAAACCCCTATATATGCTGATCTCCAAGATGATTTTTAGTTGTGATGCCAACAAATATTCAGTTTCTTTTGATAACAGTGTTGGAAGATAGCAGATAGAGCAGCAACTGTTGATACAGGTTACAAAGCATCTTTTGACAAAGACAAGAAAGAAGCAAAAGGAATTTGACATTGCAGGATACAGCTGTTGGGCATGCTACAGATCCATCTCATGTCTGCATAGATCCTGGCACTGCTGATCCACTTGTTGTTCAGGTAGGCATGTTTTTCCATTCCTCGGATGGGAACCCTGAAAATAAACCAAGCACAGTAAATCTGCAGAGCCTAGAAATGCATTCGTCCCTCTGGGAAACCTTATATGTCTCTATTTCTTATTTGTAATGTGAATCAAACAAAGGCAGAGTCCAGGAGAATCATCTGCACTAGGTTTGTGCCTTCTGTCATTTATTACATTCTCAGAGTTTGATTTGAACACAGAACCTTTGACATTCATCCATGTTGAACCAACCCTTCAGTGTCTGTTCAAAACATTTGACTGGTGCTTGCTGCCCTGTTTAAATGAAATACAACCATGGGTGGCCTCACGAAGGGTTCTTTTCACTTCTGTTTTGACTCATTACACATATGGGGAAAACCTCTTTTTAGTAAACTGCTGACTGAGGGACGAGATTGGGTCTGTGATCTACAATTCCCGTATAATGACTCCATTCAAAACAGCTATGCTCACATCCAAGAACTTTCCTGGGTGCTCTCTGATAGCAAGGCTTTATAGGAAGGTTCCAATGTCTTTGGAGTCTCTGCTTCTGTGAGCAGGTATAGGTCTCAGCCTTGCCCTTCTGAAGTGGCTTCCTGATGTTTCAGAGCCCTCATTGATCTTCTGAGGTTGTGTCTACATACCACACAGCACATTTATCAATACCAAAAAATTTAAGTTGGTGAAGGAACAGACAATAGCTACCCCAGATGCCATTATTATGCTAAACATTTTGAGGAAAATCACAGTAAATAAAGGTTTTGAAAATGATGGCCAATATGCCTCTAAAGCAGTATAGCTGGCCTCACATGACATAGACATTCCTCTCTAATAGACACAACTGACACACTTCACAACAAATGATCACAGTATAAGGAAAATGGTTTAAAAACATACGAGCTGTTATATTCTGTGTTGTCCATCCACCTCCAAGGGTGCTCTGGTGACTCTCTGTACAGGCCAATCCAGTAGTCAAAGGTCCCTTTGTATCTCCTCAGAAAATTCTGTCATAAAACATGGAAAGTGAATATATGTATTTCTCTCTTTTGGATGACCTTTTAGTGTCCCCCACGCCACAGCTTTCTCTTTAGATGACCAGAGGGACACAGACTTTGGAGCCATAATAGCCCTCAGTTCTCAGTGGATCCAGTTGACAGTCATAATTCCTAAGTACTTCACTTGAATTAAAGTACTGAGTGTAATGACATATTCTTCATGGCTGGGTGAGTTCCTGGTTAAGCCCCCCCTTGCGGTTATTAACAGTTGTCAACTTCAGGATGCAGCATTTGTTAGCTTGGAGGAGAATGCTCATTACCAGCAGATATCTCAGTAAAATGGCATTTCTGACTTTCCTGATACTACATGACAGTACTACATGACAAAAGACTTCTTGAATGTCTCAGGGCTCCACTCAGAAGTGTTATCATCAGCAAATGGACATATTCATGTGTTTCCACATGTCTCCATCTGCAAGGGAAAGGATCTTTCCTCATTTAACCTGTCTATCTCAAGGCAATACATATTCAACAGAACACACAAACAAACTTATTCCTGATAATCTCTTACCAGTTCTTCAATGTTGTCAAATCGAGCTAGCTGGGCCTTTAGTTCCACGCAGAATTTCTGACTGAATGTCCAGTTACTTGTGTCTTCAGAAAAATAAAAACATTTACTTCCAAATCCAATCCAGTCTCTTCGGCAAGGAGCATAGGTATTTTTGATTGAGACCTGTTCTTGGTTTCTTACTAAAATTTGGACAATAAAGTGAATTATAACAAGAATTGTCATACTCTATTCAGATCAGATGTGAAGTGTGAATTTGACTGCCATTTTTCTAACTGATGTGTCAAAACTATCTCCTTAGCATGACATTCCTCTGTCTAAAGGTGTCCTAGATTAGGCCTGTGCCCCAATCTTTCTCAGGTACACACTAAAATTAGGGCTCCTAGGAAGTTAATTTGGAGCCTTACCTTGATAGTCAGTTTGATAACTGAGATAGCAGTGAGAACTATTGGGAAGGCAGTGTATAAAATGTGGACCTGTTGCACTAGGGGTTGTTAATATGTTTGAAAACATTGCTGACTGGTTAGAGGTCACAGTCTGCCATAGCTGGTTGTAGGAAGTCCTATAGCCAGCAGTTACCCACCCACTGGGTTGTGGCCTCTTATACTATTTATACCCATGTAGTGCATGCAAATGGCCTCTTTTCTGGCTGTGGGATTTGGTTTCTGATCTCTGTTCCAGCAGAGGGTTCTGAATTGTGAGTCTACCTTTAAATAAATAATGTCTGTCTCTCAATTCTGAGCTAGTATGGGATTCCTTTTAAGTGTCCTTCTTCATCTGGTACCCACGTGGATTCAGACTCCATGCCTACCTGGTTGACTGCCTACAGGCCTAGATGGTCCACAGCCCAGACAGTCTCCCAACTCTGCCTACTTGGTTTGCTTTTACCTAAGCAGCTTTTTGTAGAACCCCTGCCACAGCAGAGTTTATTGTGTGTGGCAACTTGGAAATGTCAAAAGCGCATGCTTTACTGCTGCATTCCCTGGCGCAGTTTCCTGGTGTGGTTCCATGCCCTGTGGCGACTTGTGCAACTTTCAGTTTCTTCTCCCTGCCCATGAGTTTTGGTTTCCTTTCTACATGTATGAAATTGATTTAATTGATTTTAATTTGTCAATCAAAGCATATTTCGCAGTATTTAACCAGCACCCAGGTGGGAAATTAAAGCAGCTTGGAAACTAAAATGTTGGCTCAGTACCATTCCTGTTGCCACTTCGGCTCTGCAACTACAACATCTCCTGGACAATAAAGATTTGTAGTGGCATAAATGAACGGCAGACAGAAATTATAATAAAATATTCAGCTTTAATAAGGGAAAGACTTACAGAACTGAAGTTCCAGCAGAGCACAGGAAAGCAGAAGGGAAGGGGGAAGCACACCAGCAATATTTATTAGTAAAAAACATTCTCAGGGGACTCCACCCTACAAGCAAGGTGATTGGCTGAGGTTACCCCTACATCTCACCCTTTTGTCTAAATAAGATAGAGCCAAACCAAATACAACTATATACAATAGGAACAAATAATAAATACACTAAACATTCTATTCCAAGGAGTCTAAATAATGTAGAGAGTAACTACAATTATCTAATCTTCAACTACATCAAAGATTTGAGAAGGGAATTAATATTACTTAACAAATGAGAAATATCCAAAATGTGCAACAATAGACAGAGACAACTGACTACCTGGGCAATCACCCAAAGTCTCGTTTGCAATGTTGAGTCAACCAACTTTGGCTAAGGCCTAACATAATTGACATACCATTATTAAAGGCAAGGAACTTTCTTAGAACTATCCTACCCTGTCTTGGCAAGATAAGACAATCCTGTTTTATCCACTTATGGATTGTAGTGGCGTAAACGAATGCAGACAGATTGTAACAATATATATAGCTTTAATGTCGAAATAGACTTACAGAACCAGGGTTCCAGCGGAGACCAGGAAAGCAGAAGCCACAGCTGGGAGCATGCTCTCCAAATTTATAGGCAGACATTAGCCCGAGGCGAACATGCCCCCCAAGGGGGGGGGACTTATCCCTACAATGGATATTCTGTATCTTTGTCAGTAGTTGAGGTATGGGCTTTTCTTAACCCAAAGGCCAGTTCTGCCAAGAAGACAAGCTCCCTGTGGAGTGTCTTTGGTGCTCAATGTTCTCTCGGGGGTACAGTGGTGTTGCCAGGAGTGATTGTGTCTCATTGTCACAGAATTTTAGGTTAGATTAAAGGCCATTTTCTACAGTTCTTCAAAGAGGCTGAAGATTATACTATCTATACTAAATATAATCTCTGTTATCTAAAAAACCTGATTATCCTAAAAATAAATATGACAAACATATAATTTTTAATACCTATCTAACTTGAAGACTAAGAGAATAAACAACTGTGCAATATATGAAGACAATGGTCTCCAACTGTAAACAATGTCATTAAATATCAAATGTAAACAATGTTATTATATAAATAATATCAGAGGTAGAAATGTACATTGTAATATGGTAAATGTATCAATACAATATAGACAAAGTTACAAGCATACTCTTGTACAAAAAATAGAGGTAAAAGCACTCACATTTAATATTTAATATATCAATACACAAGAAACAGTACCAATTCAATTTTTAAAAACAGTAATTTACAAATACCAATCATCCCATCAAACTAGTTAATCCCCCCCTTTTTTTGGAAAGTACCGCTAATTTCATAAAATATCTCCCTCATCCCCTTAACCCTATACCAACCACTGAATGCTGTTCCTAACCCTGAGGGCAAACTCTGTTGGGAGAGGAGACGTCATCCTCTAAGATTGCTTCCAGCTGACATGGGGGTGATGTTCTTCTTAGGGGGTCCTGCGAAATCAAATGATGGTAAAAGTCCCAAATTAACCTTTGACCTAAGAAAATTGTAACTAGCCTCTGAGCATTTTGAGAAGGTCCGGCCAGAATGTTGTCAAAAATGTAAACCATTTGAAACTGTCTTGTGCAGTTGGTACCAAAAAACAGGTCTAATTTTAGCGCTAAAAAAAAAAAAATTATGACGTCATAATAACCAGATTGAGTTGATGTCATGGGGCCCCAACTTCATCCTGGAAACTTCAAAGATTACTGCAGGAAAATTTGTTGCTTGTTATGGGAGATTTAAAAATTAACAACAAAGACATATACTGACATATAAAGAAAGACACAGATATGAGGAAAGGGAAAGAAAGTTTATCAAGTATATAATTATTCTTACTATGTCCCATTTTATGGCTCCTGACCTGAGACAGAAACTCTGAGATAGCTCTTATCAACAGGCTTGGGATTGAAGAGAAACAGAGCCATAGTCCAACTCCAAAACCAGTTCTACATATTTATAAAGAAATGTTTAATAAAAAAATATATATATACATATATATATATAATTAATACTTACAGCATATGTTTAGTTTTATTGCTGATCATTAATGGGTCGTAACTTAGTTTTTATCCATCAATAATTGATGTGGGAGTGTCATATATCAATTGGTTGATTTCATTGATTAAGCAATAAAGAAACTGTTTGGCCCTGATAGGTTAAAACATAGGTGGGAGGAGTAAACAGAACAGAAGGCTGGGAGAAAGAAGCTGAGTCAGGGAGTCGCCATGATTCTCCCACTCCAGACATATGCAGGTTAAGATCTTCTCTGGGAAGCCACCTCGTGGGCTACACACATTATTAGAAATGGGCTAGTCCAGGTGTGAGAGTTAGCCAAGAAAAGGCTAGATATAATGGGCCAAGCGGTGTTTAAAGGAATACAGTTTCTGTATAATTATTTCGGGCATAAGCTAGCCGTGCGGGCGGCCGGTTGATGGGAACACAGCTACTCTGCTCCTATTACAACAAGTAATTAAATATTTAGAGTTCATTAAATTCTTTGAAGATGAGTGTTTTCCTGTGGAAATAAAAAAGAACCCTGCCTCCAATTTATCCGTATTTCTTACCATCAGTATGATCACCATCTTTGTGAATGAATTGTTATTTATCTTTTCCAAGTGGCTCAAACCGAACCTTTATTAATTTTGACGGTATCCACAATTTTTCCTCTCCTGTGGAGACAAGAGCAAAACCCCTTCCCCAATGCAGCACATCTCCTGGCTTCCATTGTGAGGTCAGCACATCCTTGAAATAAACTGGTTGATTTACTTCAGTAGACCTTTACATTATCCAATGTCTTTCTGCAGCTATTGTTCCCTTCTCATTAGCGTTGAGAAAATTTAAGGTTAACAAGGCATTATGTAACCTATTTCTGGGGGTGTTTTCCACCCCCTTTTGTTTGTTCAACATGTCCTTTATAGTTTGATTTGACCTTTCTATGACTGCTTGACCTGTAGGATTGTATGGTATACCTGTAACATGTTTAATATTGTAATAATCAAAAAACAGTTTCATTTTCCTAGAGACATAAGCAGGACCATTATCTGTCTTTATTTGTGTAGGTATACCCATGATAGCCATGACTTTTAATAAATGAGTGATTACTGAATCAGCTTTTTCTGAACTTATAGCAGTTGCCCATTGAAAGCCTGAATAAGTGGCAACGGTGTGATGAACATATTTTAATTTGCCAAATTCTGCAAAGTGGAACACATCCATCACCAAATTTAATTCCTTTGAGTGCCCTTTGGATTAGCTTCTGCAGGCAGTGGCGTTTGGTTATAGAAAGAGCAAGTAGGGCATTTCTTTACAATCTCCTTAGCTTGTTGCCATGTAATAGAAAACTCTTTCTTCAAGCCGTTGCTATTAGCGTGATGTTTTTTATGAAATTCAGAGGCCTATAGCACACTACCAATCAATAATTGATCTATTTCTGCATTACCTTGTACTAGAGGACCTGGCAAACCCGTATGGGATTGGATGTATGTTATATACATAGGGCAAAGCCTGTTCCTGATCATATCTTGTACCTGGATAAACAATGAGGTAAGTTCTGTATCATCAGGTATAAATTGAGCAGTTTCAATATATAAAATAACTCTTTCTGCATATTGTGAATCAGTAACTATATTAATAAGTTCTTTAAAATCCCTTAGCACCATAAGAATGGCATATAATTCTGCCTTCTGGGCAGAATCATAAGGACTTTGTTCCACCCTACCCAAGTCTTCTGATTTGTAACCTGCCTTCCCTGATTTATTGACATCAGTATAAAATGTATGGGCTCTGGCT